AGAAAGTCTTCTTTGCAGAACTCATTAAATCGTAAAACTTTCGAAAACGACGAGGCTACAAAATCGGACTTGGCTCAGTTTTTTGCAGACAAAGGCCAGAAGTTCTATGAGCGTGGAAGTTGCGGAAAAAATGGCGAAAGGTCCTCAACCGCAACAATATTTACTTTTTTTTAAAAACTCCCAAGTTTCTTTTGGGGCAACCCAATACATATATGTACATATATATACATATATATATATGTACACAAAAAGTTATCAGTGTTATTGTACCGCGTGTTGGAAATCTGGTCACATCCCTACTCTTATCAAGCAAGTTTATAAATACTTGTGAAATATATGGAATATATGTACGTCGTTCATCGCCAACCGCCGACCTAGAGGTTAATAATTACACCAACAAATTCAGCCTTGTCGTTACATTTAGTATTTTTTGTTAAATTAATTTTACCGAATTGCTTTTATTGTAATCTCCCATTGCTTTAGCTGCGGAAACTGCATTTATTTGTTGGCGCTCTCAGACGCTGTAAATTTTCCCACCAACGTCACCGCTTATTTGACTTACATATGCACATACAGTACTTCTCCTTTCCTCATTCATTTCTTATGTTTGAAAATTTGTTGTTGCCTTTTAAAAAAAAAAATATTTTCTACCGGTTTGTGTAGAAAACCGTTATTTGTTTGTTTGATAATCGAAAATGAATTGAAGAAATATATTTTTATATTTCAAAAATCACGGACTCTCTTCAGTTCTAAAAATTCAATTTTTTATACTTCTCAAAAGTGAGAAAACTTTTATAATTTTTTAACAGGGTTATCCATTTCGCGGTTTCAAAAGTGCAGGGTTGTATTTTGACATCTGTCAAATTTAGCTCTCAAACCCAACATGTTTTGTTTTAGTTCTAGTTTATGAGAATGGATCGCTTTACATCTGCGCTAAAATTTTCAAAACCTACAACAAAAATGGTGTGCTAAACGTGGGCACGTTTCGTGCTTTAAGAGGAGATCGAGCAATTGGTAAAATTTTTGAAGACATTCGAAAAGACTGGATCGGTTACAGATATTGTAAGGGCTGTGAGTCATCGGTTTGCTCGTTCCACCTCAATAAGCGAGAATTGTTGCTCTGAGAATTCGCACCGTGATCTTTGGTATGTTGTGTTGTTCTTTTATAGTGTGTGGACGTTTAAGGAAGAAGGGATTTGGTTCAGTAGGTGGCTATTTCTATACTTTTATGATCTGGAACCCAAATGAGACGAACTTGATTGCTTTTAGTTTATCATACCATGCACGATTTGATCTTACCTGTTGATACCACCATCAATTCAGTTTGCCTTTCTTTTGAGTATTCATTATGCGCAGGGATTGACGCCGAATACTTCTGCTTAGAAGCTGTTAGCGCTTTTGCCCATGAATATTGATACCTTTGTTCTGGGGCCTATAACTCCCACACCAGCCCCATCATTAGTCTTTGATCAATTAGCTTACTCCACCATCGAGCGTGGTGTAATTTCTTTCTCTATTTTGGATAGATTTCTTGATATTTTTACACCTTTCAAGTACATAAAATGGTATATTAACTTTGGAAAGTTTGTAAGGGTCAGAAAGAGTAGAGATAAACTCATAAAAATTTATGCCAATATAATCAGTCACTGCTTTTGAGAATTTCAACCGATACTCAGTGCACAGATAATAATCGATTTATTGTCGTAACCGGCCAGATTGGGCCAATATTTGGAATAACATATTGGTTTTCAAAATGACAGAAATCGGGCGATCATTTTCAGGATCTAACTCCCATACATCGATTTTTTCATATAGGGGGCTTTGGTAAAGAAAGAACATAAATGAGTATGGAATTCAGAATTATAAAGACCGTCAAAAAGTGTATAAATTTGTATTTTACAACAAATTTTTCAGATAAGAGAATATCAAATCCGATAATGAAATACCAAAAATTTGGTTCGAGAATTCACCTGTGGTAAGGCATGCTTGTCGTAAGAGGCGAATAGCATTCAATAATTCTAGCGATTTTTAGCCGGCCAAGGACTGTCACTTCCGCAATATTCCCGGAAAAACAAATCGTGAAATATTTTACGGTTACAACAAGAACTCACAGCTCTTCTTTCTTAATTTTCTTTAAACTGTGCAGAAATGTAAATCTAAGAGCTAAGAGCATTTTTTATTTTATTCTATATTTTTTTATAATTATCTTATGCGATAACTCTGTGAAGTGATCCGAAAACAAAGTGAACTTCTAGCGCTATTCTAGGGCACGCTAATCTTTTAGAAAGATAAGATATACCACTTCTGATGACGACCACTGCAAATATAGGACTATGATTTAGGGGATTCATTTGGAATATTCGGCTTTTTAACTTGGCAGCTGCCGCGGATTAGCTAGCTGATGTTCTTGTTAAACTAAAGGCTGATAACACCGCCGTCCAAGAAATTCCATGGACGAGTTGATATATGGTATCTTCGGTCCACCTGCCGGATATTCAGTTTCCATGACAAAGCAAATGGGTTGCAATTGATCGGTCGAGTTTTTCAAGGGACATTTTGGAGGAGCTTAATTTATTTCATCCTGATTAGGCATTTGTCACATACATATGTGATTGTTGGATTCTTATAAAGGTAGGTGGATTTTCATGTTAGTATTTTGCATAACATTTACGATCTCGTGTCGATTTACAGTTGCGTATACCAATTTGGATTTTAGTTCAATTTTTGTAGTAGTCCTTAACAAATGTGTTCTTTTTCTGGAGATTTAAGGTTCTCAATGGAGTTTGTTGTTCACATCTCTCTCTCTCTCTCTCTCTCCGATCTACAACTGGCGGTCGTAATCTATGCTGCGCCGATTTGGGCGCCGGGGACATACGAGACGCAGATGAAGAAGCTACAGGCTTGCCAGAACGAGCTCGAGCTGTTTCGAGTGACCCGCGTGACCTTGGCACAACTTAGGTTTGGATACTGTAGCAGGTTAAACTCCTACTTATCCAGACTCGAGCCCAGCATATCTAAAGTGGACAGTCTCCGCACGACACCTCTTCAAATGCCCGTTCAAACCGACCCACCTACTAAAAATATGTAGCCTTTCAAACACATTGCGTCCAATTTTTTACTTTTGCTAAGTTAAACTTTTATTAAATAATAGCTTAAAAAAATTATCAAACAATAAATCAAGAAAAAAAGGAAAATATAAAATTTGACCTTTATCATTACACCCACATTCGCAATGGAAACTGCAACAAACTTTTGATATCTACAATCACTTTTTTGCTTACACGAATACAACAAAACAAACTAGCTACGTCAAATACAATTTTTTATTACGAATTAATTATTTTTTTCGGTCTCTTTTAATGCATTCACAAAGTGGTTTAAGCTACTATTTCATAGTGTATTTGTTAATGCTGTACTCGCAGAGAACAGTAAAAATGCAATAAAATAAAAAAAATAAATTAAAAAAAACAAAGAAAATATGTAGTAATTTCAACAGGCAATTCATTACGGCTGCCGCACAGCAGCAGCGCAACAACTTGTAGCGTGTGAGATAAAGTGGGAGTCGAATTGTTGTACAGCAGTACTACTATCGCTGGTGCTGCTACCGCGGCTCAACCGAATGTATGAATGAAAATGGAATGAGGCGATGGATTAATTTAGCTGCTAGCTAGCTGGCTAGCTTGCTAGATGGTTGGATGACTTGTTTGCGCACTGCGCAACATGTAAACGTTATTGGTGCGGTACGGGCGGAACCAAACATTGCTGTATAAAAGAAAAAATGAAAAATCTCGTCGTAAAAGGGGGAGCAGTACGAGGGCGTTGTTGTTTGTATACTCTTGTATATTTTTGTAAAGAGCATTCATGTATGTATCACGCTGTATGACGGGAAAACAAGTGGGCGAGCTGACATTTATGTTCAACTTCATTCTATAAAGTTTATTTAAGTGTGTATATACCATAAATGTAATATCTTAAATTGTAAGAAAACGACCACAATCGATAGGTATATATATATATATATCTTAATATTTAAGGAAGTGCACAAAAATGCAAAATTTGCTGCTTTTTTGGCTAAAGCTAATTCCTGATTTTACAGGGCTCTGATAGCTTACACTTTCGAAAAAAAAATTAAATGTTTTTAAATTGTGGTTAACAGTCGTTGAGGGTATTAAATTTTGTAGTTGTTGGCGACACAATTTTCGCACATTTTCTTATTTGTTTAGCATTATTTTGGCTTTTTTGCAATTGGTCGAGTTTTGTTATATTTGAAATATTTGTATTTTTTAGTTTAATAGCGGCACTGCAACTGTTTTTTTTTTTGCGTTTAGTTAAGTTTTTTATTTGTTAAAAATGCATAGGCGCTATGTTCCAAAAACCTCCAAACTTCGGATTCTAAACTCGCTAAATTCACTATTGGATACAATTTATTCACACACAAAATACACGATTTTTATAAAGGCACTTTTGAATTTAAAGAGAAACGGAAGTAATTAAGTTTCTCTGTGCATAAATTAATTACCATTCAAATGTAAATTTCAACAACGCACAAATTTGTTTTCTGTATTTTTTTTTATTGTACACAAAAGATAAAAGTAGCTAAGTCAGCAAGAAATGTATTTAGTACAGGAACTTAGATGAACTTTGCGCGTAAAATAAAAAATGAAAAGAAACATACCAGTAATTATTGAAACAATCTATGAGTTTTTCTCTATTTTGTTTGTTGTAATGGAGTGAATGTGTCTGTGACAATTTTTTTTTATTTTTCACGCACATTGGGTTAATAATAACGAAGGCATGCAGCGAACAAAATCGGAAAACTTCATTTCACTCAACGCAGGTAGATGTACAATAAATTTTTGTAGTAGTTGTTGTTGTTTCTTGTACCCACTCCAATAAGCAGCGAAAACTCTGCCAACACACTATTCCAAGTACAAATTACCTTTCACATAACCAAACGTCACTAATGCTTGAATAAAATTATATATGTATTAAATTCGTACCCTTCTTTAATTGCATATTTCATTTGATATCTTCACGGAGTAAGCTACTTTAAAATTAAGTAAATTTGGGAGCACAATTTGTCGCTGGCTCTGCTCCGCTGCCACTGCAATCAACCGAACGAGACGGAATACGCGTCGAGACAATGCGCAAGGAAATACAAGTACAAATTTACTTTCAAATAACGTTGCTAAATTTAGCACAATTTCCCTTATTATTTATTGCAATGCACAACACTAAATGTAGGCGATTTCAATTAAATTTATTTATTTTAAAATGCAGCAAATAAATACTAAATAAAAACGAAAAGAGCAGCTAAATTCTTTCCGTACGCGTCGACGTTTTCGTTTTCTTTTCACTGCTGCTGTCTTAAATGTCAGTGTTGCCAACTAAGAGGATCGCAAGAGGAACGTGTGGAATTAAAAACGGTGTTCGGTGCTAAAAATTGTGTGAATATGTGATGTTGGAAGAAAATTAAACCTTAATTAAATTTAAACTAAACACCAAATAATAAAAAATGACAAAAGTTATGTTAAATTCATTGCTGATGGGAGCGGAAGCTATTTGAAAAGCGAGCTGTTTTGCATTTCCAATCGGAGTGGCAGCTTTTACAAGGTTTCATAAAAAATCCGTTGGATGGCGCGCTAGTGAATTGAATAAGGGAAACACTTTAAAGTATTGCCAATATAGAGCAGAAACATACTAAATTTATGTTAAACACTTTATTTGAAATTCAACTAAAATTAATGTATAAAAATTACTATAATAAATAACGAAAAAAATAAAAAAGTGAAACAGAATAAAATTTAATATAAAATAAAGTAAAATAAAAATTAAAAATATAAATAAATTAAAACAAAATAAATTAAAGAAAGTAAGGAAGAAAAATGATTTACATAAACTACAAAAAAAATATATATATAATTAATTAATTAAAATAAATTGTAACACAACATAATAATTAAAAAAAAAAATAAATATATATAAAATAAAAAAATAATAAATAATATAAACACAATAGAATAAAAATAAACAGAATAAAGTAAAATACAATTAAACAAGCTCAAAAAAATTATAATATATATAATATATAAAATAAAAATTTAAATTAACTTAAATAAATTTAAAAAAAAAACTGTCTCAATTATATAATAAAATATATAAAACCAAAATTAAATGAAAAAATATAAATATACTAAAATAAAACAAAATAATAATTCAAACTGAACAAAAATATAAATTAAAAATCAATCAAATAAATAATAAAAAAATAAAATAAGAATAAACAGAATATAATATAAAAAAAAACTAAGCAAATTAAGAAAAAATTGTATAAAATAAAAAAAATTAATAAAACATTAAGTTAAAAAAAATATATACAAAACTAAAACAAAATAAAAAAGATTAAAAAACTGAAATAATGTAAAAGAAAATTATTCAAAATGAAAAAAATGTACAAAAAAAATGAAATTAACTAAAGGGTAATCACAAAAAAAATATATAATAAATACATTAAAATAAAATTGAACAAAATAAAACAAAGTATTTAAAAACAAAAATAAATAAAATCGAAAAAAAAAATATTAAATTTATGTAAAAAAAATTTAACAAAATAAAACAATATAAAATAAAACATATAATTAAATAATATAAAACATATTGATTAAGGAGAAAATAAATTAAAAAAAAAAACATTATAAAAAATTAAACTAGCTGAAGTCAAATGAATGATGAAATGATTCAAAATTAACGAATAAATAAATACACAAAATAAAATTTATTTAAACGAAAAATGAAGTTAAATAAAATAAAAAATAAATAAAAAAATATAATAAAATAACATGAAAAATTTAAATTAACTTAAGTTCAACAAAATAAAACAATAACATATTAATTATATGAAGGAAAGTAAAAAAATAAAAGAAAACAAATTCTTACAATATAAATTTATTCTTAATAGAAAAAATAATTATAAGAAAATCAAATATACCTCAGTCAAATAAAATAAAAAGTAATGTAAAATAAAATAGAGAAAAAAACAAAATAAAAAAATGATTGGCAATTAACAAAGAAATATATACAAAAAAATAAAACAAAAAAAAAAACAATGAAAAAATAAAATATTAAAGCAAAATAAAATAAAATAATATTGAATTAAATAAAAAAATTAAAGTAAAAAAATATGGAATAAAATATAATATAATAATATTAAAACTTTAAATAAATTAAAACAAAATTAAAAAAATACATAGAATAGAATAAAAGAAACTAAAATAAACTAAAAATAAAATATAAATATAATAAAATAGAATAAAATAAAACATTTTTAAATAAACAATATGAAATGAAATATGATCAAATTAAATTAATAAAATAAAATACAATAAAATGAAATGAAACAATATCAAATGAAATAAAATAAAATAAACTAAAATAAAAGAAAACAAAATTAAATAAACTTAATTTAAATAAAATAAAATCATACCAAATTAATTATATTAAATAAAATAATTAATAATAAAACAAAAACAAATAAAACAACTTCTTACAAAATAAATTTAAATGAAAAAAAAAATAATAATAAGAAAATTAAATAGACTTCAGTCAAATAAAATAAAAAGTAAAGAAAACTAAAATAAAAATGATGTTGAGAAAAAACCGAATTAACAAAGAAATAAATACAAAAAATAAAATTAATTAAAAAAAAAAACGAAGGAAAGCAAAATAAAATAAAAAACAAATAAAATAAAATTGAATGAAATAAATAAAAATAAAATAGATATAAGTAAAAAAAAATTAAAAATGAAATAAAGTAAAAGAAGATAAAATAAAGTGAAATAAAATTACATAAAATAAAATAAATAAAAAAAAAAATTAAAGCAAAGTTAACTTGACAAAAACTAAAATAAATTATAATAAAATAAAAATAAAATAAAATTAATCTAAATAGAATAAAATGAAATAAGTAAAATATAATAAAACTATTTAAAATAAAGAATATGAAATGAAATAAAATACAATAAAATTAAATGAAATACAATTAAATGAAATGAAACAAAATAAATAGTAAAATGAAAAAAAAAGAAAATGAAGCTAAATTAAATAAAATGAAATAAAAGAAAAGAAAATGAAATAAATTAATATTGAATAATATTAAATAAAAAGTAAATTAAGATTAAAAAAAAAAATTAAATAAAATGAATAAAAAATACATAAAAAAGTAAATCAAAATTATATGAATTAAACTAAAAAAATATATAATAGTAATAAAAGAAAGAAAAAAATAAAAGAAATGAAATAAAATAAAATTCAATAAGATAAAGTAAAACAAAATAGTAATGATAAAAAATTATTAAATGAAATAAAATAAATAAAAAAGAATTTAAAACTCCCATTTAATGTTAAAATTGAAATTCAAATGATATACGCATATTCCTGAAACTTTTCTCCGACAGCCCTTTTCTATATAAAATCTCCAGACACTTTGCCACACTAATTTATTATTTCGTTAATCAAATAAAATACTGTCAACTTTTCAGCTTAAGAAGCTAAAGATGTTAGAGAAATCGCAAACCGCATGCACATTATGTACAGAAAGAAATACTTGTTTGCATTCAATAGCAAAATAAACAGAAACACAATACAAACAAGGGTACTTGACTGCCAATCAGCCACAAGCCTAAAAGTTTGCCTCACTGAATGCTTGTAACTGTTACACCGGCATGTGTTGTTGTATGAAAAAAAAACAAGAATTCAAAAACAGAAATAAGATAATCATAGAAAGAATAAAAGTAAGAAAAATGCATTTTGGGGTAAGAAAACAAATTTTTTTATTGAAAATAGTGAGTCCCCAGAGAGCAAAAGGATAAAAATATGTTCCAATTCCAAATATGGCAGCTAACAACCAAATAAACAAGAGCAAAAAATAGATTGTAGTTACAGCAGGCAAGAAAGCGGAGGAGAGTCAGTGCTATGGTCAAATAGTGCATTTCGGTAGCGCTGGGTCGGCGTTGGGCGTTGACGTTAAGCTGCGCATATTTGGGCGTTATTGATGAGGTAGGAAGTAGCATGTGGTGCGAATGGGTGTGCTGGTGGGGGTAAGCGCACGACGGGGTTTGTTTCATGTCGCATTGTTAGACAGTTACTTATGCTTACGTAATGTGTGTGTATGTGCGTGTTGCATGTGTAAAACTACCATGTCCAATTCACTTTTATAAGCACCACAAAATGCGAATAACATATGCGTTGGAAGATTTACAAATGCTTGTGTATACATACATACACGTATATGCGCTGCACATACAAAATGAACGCGTTACAGTAAAACCTTAGATATTCATGTACATACATATGTATGCGCATTTATGGGTTACTTACGTGAAATTTAACCTTTAGCCTCATTGAAAACGCAAGCCAAGACCATGGACACACGCAACCGCAGCCAAGCATATCTATGTACACGTATGTATGTATGGCGCGCTTGAAGCGAGCGAGGAGGGCACAAGTCAGCATCTCTTCTTTCATTTCCATTACCATTTTGGGGGTTGTAAAATTCCCATAGGTGTTTAAATAGCATTACGACGCTGTTGCATTGGCTTATGACGGCTGGTTTATTTCGGCACTGCCATTCAACGCTACCAACGCCGCCAACAACACCCCCCAACACCGCGTTTCAATCAGCCTGAGTGAGTGAGGTTGAATTGTAGTGGATGGCAACACCACCACAAGAATGGCCATCAGCAGTGCTTTAATAACTACCAAGATTTCGACTGTATTTCACGCACAGTGTATTTGTTCTGGAAGAAAAATGTTTGAAAAATAGAAGTGTTCTTCCGTAAAATCTTTTTCTTGTAAACTTCTAAGGCCGACTCATCAGATGTTGCCATCCTCAATGTCTCCGCCCCATAAAGTAGGGCGGGAATGATGAGTGATTTTCAGCTTTTGGTTTTGGTTCGTCGAAGAAGGACTTTACTTTTCAATTACCCACACAGTGAAAATAGCGTCGGCTTTCAAGGCTAACATATTTTTGTTGGTGTTAATGAAGATTACATGGGATTATTGTTTGTTTGATGACAGAGGATATTTCATTCTTCTAAATAAGGACGGAGCTTTTGGTGCTGCTTAAGGTCAATTTACATAGTCGTATAAGTTTTGGAGACATAGCGGTAGGGTGGGGTGTGTGTCGATCCTCTTTTTACTTACCTTTTCCTTAAGCCACACTGATAAGGTCCAATCAGTTCTTTGAACATCAGTGACCAAAAGAGATTATGGTACTCCATCAGTTTGCTCCGGTCCTGCAACTTTCTGTAAATCGCTGAATTTTTTTTTATATAAAATTTTCGAGCATCATCATGGTCGGCCGATTTCAGGCTCTTTATACTTA